AAAGCTCTTTCACAGAAAAGAGGTGCCCTCTCACCGTGCGCACTTTGGTGCTTAGTTTACATTTCGCAAGAACACTCCAGAATGGAGTATACGGTGAAGTTGAACAAAAGTAAAAGGTCATTTTTATCGGAATGGAGTCTGACAACGCCGTAGATCCTGGTGCAAACAGTAGTGTTCGGAAGCAGAGCACATAGGATGTTCATGTATTTGGTGGGAACAAGCTCCCGAGCAAGTATGTCAAGCAGAACGGCCACACCAACCAAGTCGAATGTCTTTTTGGTTTCAGGAACAGCCATTGTCGGCTTGCGGTACAAGTGGTGGTGTTTTAATACCTATTTTAAGGTGAACATATGGTACACATACAACCTCGCCTAGAGCAGAAATCCGCCTGTTCACCCCTAACACGAGATTTCCGTTCCGCAATGGGGCAATGGGCAAGAATCGAAGAGAGTAACTTTGTTACTGCTGATGTTAGACTGAGGACACTGTGGTCGCGAACTGAAATTAAATGGTTAAAGACATCAGTAATTGTTAAGGACCCTCCAATGAATTCGGATAACCGGAAGTGTCCACACGGTCAATTTTGTATACAGCGAGCCAACCTGGAACTGAAGGTATGGACTTTACAGAAGCCGTCGCAACGAGACTGGACCTTAACGTGGTGCGACGGTTTGCGTACCTCATTGACCCATTGAGCTATACTGGGTGATGCCTCCGAGCATCTTGAGAGCTACTCCTACCAGGTTGGTCAATGGTGAGAGGTCAGACAAACTCAGTCTCCTGGTCCTCCAGGTTGGGGGTTTGCAATGGGATGGCGTCCATTTCTGTAAAACTAAATCACTGCCACCCGGCTGCCTTGCGGACAACCTTTTCAGCAAAAGGCTTTGGATGAGGACCCTAATCGTCCTCCTGTCTAGGTCTGGGCGCCCTGGAAGTATCTCAGCCCACATACAACCATGACATTTTCTTCAAACATAAACTTCATCCTGCATCGGCCGTCGCGCAGATTATCAAGGGTCGCCTTATCTGCTGTATGCAGCAGGCCGCAAAGTGAAAACATGCTACTGCTGGCGCCTCCCTTCTTTCTTTTCCCCCTTTTTCTCTTACTCCCATCCCGGCCCCCATTACTAACCTTCCTTCTATAATTCCCAGCTTAACTGACAGCAACCGAAGTGCCACTGGAGTAGAACAATCTGCAGCCACCATCCCAAAGCACCTATCGGACGCCTATCTGCAAAAGTCCTTTATAAGGTCACGCTGTCCCGTTTCCAAGGCGACATTAAACGTCCGCACTCTAAGACAAACAGGTCAGCAGGCTGCACTCGCACGCACCTTGGACACATTGGGTGTTGATGTGTGTTGTGTGTCCGAAACTAGGATTAATGACCCTAACGGGGTTATCGAATTGACTGCACCCGGCTTATCCTCTCGTTATTGGTTGCACGCATCCGGAAACGCCGATGCGGCACTCACGGGTCAAGCTGGTGTAGGTATCATTCTAAGCTCCAAGGCTGAACCATCGTTGGTTGATTGGATTCCGGTGAACAGCCGTTTATGTGCAGCCCGTTTGACGATGTCAGCTAAGGTGAATTCGCGAAGTAAAACAAAACGCTGTTTGTTTGTGATTTCTGCTTATGCTCCCACCGACTGCAGTTCTAATGCAATCAAGGACATTTTCTATCACAAACTGAACGCGCTACTAGTTCAGATATTATAGTACTTGCAGGGTATATGAACGCAAAAGTAGGGCGTCCGAGCTCTTCAGAAGCTCAGCTGGGTGGTAATTATGGACTTAACTCCGAACGGACTGACAACGGTGAGCGTCTACTGCAACTGTGTGCGGAGCACCAGTTGTTTCTTAGTAGCACTGCTTTTAGACACAGTGGGCGCCGAAGTACCACTTCGCGTCCACCTGTAGCTGGCCAGCGATGGACCCAAATTGACCACATAGCCATAAGTTACAGGTGGCGTGGTTCCATCCTAGATTGCCGCTCGTACTGGAGTACCTGCGTCGACGCTGACCATGCCTTCGTACGCTGTCGTTTCTCTATGAACTTTGCCGGAAGGTGCACAAAGCGTCCCCTCCGAGTAGCAACGGAGAAATTGTCCCACCCCTCGGTCAGGCAAGCCTATCAAGAAGCACTGCATGCCGAACTCTCGCTGTCTTGTCCTAATGACACTGAACTTCAGTGGAATAGGATCTCGGCCGCCATGCACGACGCAGGAGCATCTGCTTGTGGAACTATCAGTCGTCACCGCACTAGTCACTGGATATCCGAGAGGTCCGTGAACCTGTTGGAAGCTAGAAGACACCTCCCGGCTAGTTCTGAACACAATACGACCAGACGGGCTCTTAGGCATGAAGTAAAGCGGAGCCTACGTGCTGACAAGGAAGCCTGGTGGACCACTCGGGCTTAAGAAATGGAGGAGGCAGGAGCAGTAGGCAATTACCGCAAGCTCTTCCAGCTAATCCGCACCACTGGTCCCAGGAAACCAGGCGTCAGTGAGACAATCAGAGACAGCGCAGGTGCGTGATACACAATAAGGAGCGCCGTCTGGCTCGTTGGGCTGAACACTTTGAAGATCAGTTCAGCTGGCCCCCTGCTGCCGGACCTCTTCCTATTCAGGTGATGCAGGACGTGCCATGGACGGTTAGTTTAGAGCCTCCGTCGGAGGCCGACGTCCGAAACGCGATCACAGCCCTCAATCGCTTGCGTGCCGCTGGCCCGGATTCCCTCCCACCTGCACTATTTAAGGATGGAGGTGAGGCCCTTTGCAGGGCACTGACCTCCCTATTCGAACGTATCTGGAACGAAGAGAGTGTGCTGATTAATTGGAGCGAATCGATTATAGTGGTAATATACAAAAAGGGCAGTCGCACAGACTGTGCGAACCACAGGGGTATTAGCCTAACGCCAGTTGTGACAAAATTACTGACCTCGATTCCTGTTCTTCGCCTCACTGTGGGACACGAATCTCGGATTAGGGAAGAGTAGACCGGTTTCCGCCCAGGACGTGGCTGTATAGACCATATATTCACTTTGCGGCAGGTGCTAGAGCAGCGCCACGAATACCGCAGACCGACAATAGCTGTCTTCCTCGATTTCAAGAGTGCGTTCGATCGATCCTGTTTGAAATACTTGCGAGGAAAGGTGTTCGCACGAAATATGTGAACATCTTACGTGTTCTATACTCGAACACTACAGGCTGCGTCAGGGTCTATGGTGCCCTATAGGATAGCTTTTCGACTACAAGTGGCATTCGTCAGGGTTGTCCGATTTCCCCGTTTTTGTTCAATTTCGTCGTGGATTCTATCATGGAGTGTTCCCTTGCGGAATCTCATGATGTAGGCGTTGAAGTGCTGCCTGGTGAAAGGTTACTTGATCTAGATTATGCGGACGATATCGTCTTGCTTTTCGACGATTTTGCGGCGGCACAATCAACCCTGAATAGCCTGTCCAGTGGTCTCATTATTTGGTATGCACTTCGCATCTTCGAAGTCCAAAGTGTGGCTGCAGGACCACCAGCCACTTGATGACTTCTTGACGCTTGCTAACGAGGAACTCGAGGTGGTTGATCAATTCACTTATCTTGGCAGCTGCATCAGCAAGGATGGGCGCATAGAAACTGACGTCAGCACACGCATTGCAAAGGCCAGAGCTGCCTTCTTGAACCTGCGGCATCTTTGGCGACAGAAGGGAGTTTCCCTCCGTCTGATATGCCGTGTGTACAAGGCCACAGTGAGGGCCGTCCTGCTCTATGTTAGTGATACTTAGTCCCTTCGGTCTGAAGATCTGAGGCGCCTTCAAGTCTTTGATCATCGTTGTCTGCGAAGCATTGCTGGTGTCGGATGGCACCAGCGTATCCCCAAGGATGATGTGCGTAGGCGAGTACTAGGTAGTGATAAGTACGCTAGCTCCCTAGAACAACTGATAGCACTGAATAAGTTGCGTTGGCTCGGGCACGTGCTACGCATGCCTGGGCACTGCTTACCTAGGAGCGCCTTGTTCAGTCTCCCTGGTGTAGGATGGCGCAAGGCTCGAGGTGGACAGAAGTTGACTTAGCAGCGGGAAATGAAGTCCCTGACAATCAAACTAGGTGCCGTTGGTCCGTCTCGCCTTCCGGGTTGGAGTCCACGTGACTCACCTTGTGCTTGGCTCGAGACTGTGCAGGACATGGCTCGCAACGGACACAGTGGCGCGTCTGCTGCCGTCTCTTAATCGGATTGCCTGTTTAAAGTATGTTTGGTGCTGATTTATCTGCGAGGTAATAGCTGGCTACGACGCGTTGCAGTGAAAGCCGCAAGGAAGCTGTCTCGCCGATGCCGCCTTATCTTTGCACCATAGCCAGCTGTTTGTGACGGTATGTTGTCTACAGGAGGTGTAGGCGCCTTGACCCTGAATGTTTGCTTAGGGCATTAAGGTTTTCAGGTAAGTCCCCTTTTCTCTCCCTCTTCTTATTATTTATTTCATAGGTCCTCATGGTGGTATGGCAGCGAAGCATCAGTTCAAATGGCTGATGTACTGCTGATGATGATGATGACTTTAGAGAAGGCCTATTGTCCCCATGCCTGCATCGCGACTCCACAGAACACGTACACAACCTCAGTGCCTTGTAGAAGTTGTCCCTTCATTCAAAGTTGCACCAGACGCAACCAGCCGAATTCCAACCAATGGATCTATACCTGATCGTCGGTGGACCCCACCTTACCGGGGAAGTGCGATTCGGCATCCCTCATAGATCACGCTTGACAGATACAAATCCCACTTTCGAAGGTGGTAAACAAAACAAGTGCAGGATGTGGCCTAAAAATGTGCAGATACAAACAGAGAAGGATAAAACGACAGTATTATTGAGCATTTGCAAGAACATTATCACTGCGCACTGATGGTGGTTTGCAGATACCCGAAGAGATGCCTGCAATGAGGTGGACAAACTAAGTGGACAAACTGACAGGCAAGTAATAATAAAAACGGGAAAATAGCAGAAAATCAACATACTCTGAGCATATGAAACGGCTTGATTATGTGTGCCGGTTGGTGGGAGTTGGAGTACGTACGCACGAATGATGCACCTCTATGCAGTCTGGCTGCATCACGCCAATCATCCGGCCTTTTTGGACCCGTAGATATACTGGGAAAGAGACTATCGGATACTCGCGCGCCGTTCAGTTCGGCATGTGGAGGGGTGTAAACGGATCTTCGGATCTTAGACGGTGGCTGCAATGTCGGAGTTCCGGAGGACGGGTACCTTTTACGGATGATACTAGGCGTCCTTGGCGATTCCGGCGCAACCATCCCATTACTGTTACCGAATCGTCGGATGAACTGACTGGTCCGATCCGGATTAGGTTTCGTGTTGGGGAAGACGGTCAACACCGCAGATCCCTTAGAGTTCATCACTTTCAGGTGAGTGGTGGGATGTGAGAGGGGCCGCAGTGCATTAGTAGTAGTGACCGGAGCTATACTGCTCGTAGTCTTCAGGGATGACGGGGGGATACCTGCGTTTATCAAAGCATTGAGTATAATATCACCACCCGGATCTTCGGTGGCATCAGTAGAGGGATTAGAGTGTACGGTTGCAGTTGGCGGATCTATCAGTAAAGGAGAGTCGGTGAGCAAGGGAATTCGCTTCGGATGGGTAATAATGTTATTTGCAGAAGCTGGGAGGGCAGATTGCTTAAGCGGCTGCGGTGCGATGATGTGTTCCAGTTTCGGTAAACGAGGCGTTGCGCATTCATTTGAATCCTTGGTAGCCAAACCCTTGAGCGCATCTTCAAAAATAGAAGCCGGATCCATGTGGCTGGAAGGTAAAGAGGAAGCATGAAACAAGGGCCATATGTACGCTGGAAAAGAGGCAAAGTACATTGTGATGTGTAACCACTATACAACTCAATGCATAAAGACCATATCTTAGGCGAGGCAAAACTGGTAAAAAGATACGCTGATCTGCTCGAGGGGAATCGGGCGATTTAATTGCAAGAGTACCACCATCAGCTGAGGTGGCATCTTCAGTGCGCCGAAGTAAAAACCTTAGACAGTAACTGAGCTTCAGGTAGGTCCGGAGAAGATAAAACGCTGATTTAGTAGCAACGCCCCAAAAGAAAGCGGTTAGGAAAGATGTTCTTAAAGATTAACACAGTATACAGACCTAGTGCAACAGCGATGGTTAGACTTAAAGGATGCGCCAACCTTGTTTGATGATCATGTTGTGATTGATGACAACGGTAATGAATAATAATAAAAATAATGTGTCAGCTGTAAGCCGTAACGGCGCTTCGCTGCCGCGGGACCACCAGTCGCGCGCGGGCTGAGTGTACCGCGAGGACGCCTACCTCTACGCGGATTCGAACCGGTGACCTCATGGTTGAAAACCAGGCGCGCAGACCACTCGGCCACTGACCGATACCAGGGAATAAAAAGGAAAAACCCATTTGAGAACAGCAGTAAACACTTGTGGCGACTACATACGTGGGACTACAGAAACAAGGCAATCTCCCGTGAAAACATCGCCAATACCAAAGGTGACAACAGCGACACATCAGTAGCAATGCTTTAATGCTATACAATCCGTCACAAGTCAGAAAAGAAAGGTAATAGCAATACGTCGTTACGTTGTACAGACGCTTCGCTGCCATCATCAGTCGGGAGCAATGGTGTAAGGACAAGGGATATGAGGGTGAAAGAGGGCTAATACTGAATTATTCAGGAATAACATGCCTAATCTTTTCAACATATCCGCATACCCACAAAGTAACCACGTTTCAAGTGGAGATCAGTGAGACATCTCGTTTGCATCGTTCATAGCTCACACATCATCACCATCAACTTTGATCTACAGAAAACAGCACCATGCATATTTTACGTGGGTATTGTAGGACGACAAATGTGAACTGCCTCCGGTCTTGAGAACATCGCTACAATGCTTGAGATAAAGCACAAAGTGATTCGTAGGGACGGTATGCTATAAAGGGAGAAAGAACCCAAAGAATGAATCTAGAAGCCATAGACTTTATTCCCTGGCGTCAGAGCAAGGAGTGCGCTGCTAAACATATTTGTCACCCAATATGGAGCCAAAACGAAGTTAACTGTGACCGTGAAACATTCAAGGAACCCTACAGCTAACCCACGCCAGCCCGTAGCCTAGTGGTAACGAACTTGTAATCTTGAGGCGCGGGTTCGAGCCTGCGTAGGGACAGGGCGACCCTCGCAGTACCTTTAGCCTCCGTGCGACCGATGGTGATTGCGCGGCAGCGAAACGTCGGTACTGCGTACGGCAGATGCCTTTCTTACTTTTGCATACAGCTGACCCACCTAGCACAAACTAGTATAGTTGCCGTTAATAAGCACTCGCTATCTTGCTGCTCCAGCAATGATACCTGGGGAACGGGAAAGTCTTCGTATGTTCGGATGGAAGTGGCTATGCCTCACATCCATGGGGAGAGTCGGTCACTATGATTATTATTATTATTATGCTGAAAGTACTGTTGTTAAGGCCACTGAAAATCCCCCTCTGAGTCAAAGGAGTGTTAGCATAGTCCTGAAGTCTAGTTTCCATAATATTCAAACTAATTCAAGTCACGTCAATCGTTGTTACTTTTGCAAGCAAGGTAAAAAAATTGGTCAACTACCTTCAGTTCCTCATCACCAACAATCAATGAGTAAGCATATAGCTGGCGATCCTGCAAAAAAACCTTACCCTTTGAAAATGGAAAATGCATACAGAGGAAGACGATCACACCCGAACTAGGCCAGGATCAAATGGGTGAGAAAGACATCAGCAGTACGCCTGTACAGCGTACCGACGATTCGCTGACACGTGACCGCCAGCAGTCGCACGTGGGCCGGGTATGACGCGAGGTCCCCATCACATATGCGGATTCAAACCAGTGAGCTCCAGACCACAAGGCAAGCGTGTAATCCTTTCGGCTATTGGCGGAAGGTGCGGCCTGGTGATTGTTAGAAATATGTCGAGGTCAGTCACATCATGCGCACAGTAAGATTTCAAGACACTACATGTTAGAGCTCACTATAAAAGTGGATGGAAGGACAGAGGGGAAGACAACCATAATGAGTTCCACTGCCACCGAAAATAGCAACAATTAACATAGTTCCTGATCCGACCTAGGATGTTTCAGTATAGCGCATGAAAAGCATCGGCCTAGTTCGCGGGAGCACAACCTGTCGAACTGACCAGTGATCGATTAAGTTAAACGTACCCTCTAGACCGAAGAATGCAGCTGGAGTCGGCCTATGCTATGTGACACGTCAGTGTTTACTGTGAAGTAAAAAACATCTTTAACATCACCATTCAGTAAGAAACCGGTCTTCATGCATCTGGAATTCCTGTTTCACAGTAAGGTGGACGTGGTAAGCATGAAGGCTGGACGCATTATGATCGATCCACTCTAATTGGCTAGGGCACTCAGATGTTTTGATTTTTCGAAGGGCTGTTAACTTCATTTCAAACCTCAACATCCTCTGTAAATGCAGGGTGTGAGAGAATCGGGACCGGTAAAGCCGAAGCGATTGAGAGTTGTAATCAGGCGTCAAACCTAAGCCTTAGTTGCAGCCCCCAAACTAATCGGTCGTGGTTCCGCCTGCAACAGCCCTGAAATGAGCCGAACAGACACAGAAAGCCAACCGAACCGCTCCCAGAAGTGATCCGGTAAAAAACTGGGTAGCGTTCTTGATAGTGAATTGAAACTCTGATGACGTCTCGATTATCGAACTAACAGAAAATGCCATAGGACAATCGGTGCAAAAACGTCGGAAGGCTGTAAGTCACTCACCAATTCAGTCTTCTCAAATTCCTGAACTAAGTCCGACTAAGCGTCCTTGTGAATCGCCGGCTGAGATTTAGCTTGTGCTGAAGTCCGTTTAACAGCAATATGACTGGTGCTGACAGACGTAATTTTGGAGTGCAGTAGACTCATCGACCTTTACAATATCCATTTTCCAGTGCACTGAGGGTTGGTAACGTCCAGCTTATGAACTCTCGCATTATGCATGGCAGTAAAAATCGTATTCGACTACAACACCGCCCCCTGAGGACAATTAGGATAACCTAACTGGGATTCTAGCATCATCTATAGGTGCAACTGAGGACAGTTTCCAAGAGAAGTAGTATACTATGCTTCACGACTAAAAGAAAGGAAAAAGCGTATAGAGGCATACGTAGAACCAACGTGCGAGTTCCCTCAGAAGCAACAGTTAAACTTGCAATCGTGCCGAGAAAAGTTTATTGTGATATGGACCATTTGCAAGAATTATTAGGCAGCTGCTCGAAGGAAGCACAATACAAAAACAACTGATGACAGAAGCGTAATTGCGATGAATGATCATAACTGTTCATTAAACAGAGATTAGGACCAAACTCGCGACTTAGTCGAGGTTCGGGGACTAGATGACCAATTTCACACGCATATTCTCTGTAACTAAAAGTATAAATGAGCTAACAGCACTACAAAGCAGCATATTCAGTCAGCGGTGGGCATCTTATGCAGTACCAGAGCCGCAGTGGATGGCAGAATAGGTGTCTATCGCCACTGTTTGCACCACAAGTTTCGCGTGTATCTTTACGTTGATGACATTCAATGCATTTCGCGTCGGTTCAGCTAAAACAGCTGTAAGTTCCATATTGAAGTTTTCTGGACAGGATTTGAGTGGCTAGGATAATAAATACGATATTAGGGAAGGACGCAAAAGAGAGTTATAGATGAAATTGGGTAAAGTTGAAAGGATTAGTAAATTAGCAGACCATTGTCATGCAGAGTCGGTGGGCCCCAGTTATTCCGTGCATGTCGGATTGGACCTACAACCACAGATGTGACTAATACGAAGGTCGCTGCCCACCAAGGCATCAAGTATCGCCCTGATCAAGTCTCTAAGACAATTGTTTCATACCACTATGCCAAGCAAACGACTCATTACCCTGCGGTTTCGTCCAATTGAGAACATGAACAATATATGATGCACATAAGTTTGCAGTCAACAGATTCGCGCAGCGCACCACCCTACTAACGCAAGCGGTTCTAGCGCAACAGACATTACAGTGTGGCAACAGAGGGTCAGTTAATAAACACTGTCGGGGTTAAGTGATGGTCCTCCACAGCGCCCACTAAGCATGATCAATGTTACGCAAACAGAGATGATCACGGGTGGCTAGTTTCCACAGAGCGTATCGATCATGTTTCTGATCCATACAGCAAAACTGGAAGCACCAGTCGTGTACCATGCTAGACTTAAGCTGATATCCTGGAGCCGAAAAGATGGTTGGAAACATGAAAAGACATGGGTTCGGCTCTTGGATAAAGCAGCTTATAGTGATTGTATTAGAGGTAGTACAACTAGCCTGAGAGATCAACTGCGACCGCTTCTTGCATAGCACGAGTGACAGAAAAACGTCCGCTGGAGCACCCTGAGTGACGGTATTTTATGCCCCCGATGGTCCCAGTTGGACTCCATTAGGACGAAAATAACTTCCCCAGCGCACCCTTAACATATACCGCAAATGCTGTATTCTGGTTGCAAATGCAAATAAATGGAAATCGATTCCGAAAATTTCAATCATATAAAACTGAAATTTTTAAGTGACCGAAATCGTCCCGAAATGTGTGCAACTGAGACGGCCAGTGCCACAAAAAAGATAACTCAGGGCTTCAAAACGGTCACTCGTGCTTACCAAAATTATGATTTCATGGGCAACGAAAAACGGCGTTACAAACATATACAGCTGGCTATGGTGCAAAGATAAGGCATCATCATCAATCAATCAATCAGCAGCAGCATCATTCACGTCAGC